AGATTCATACTTATTGATTTTCTATTAATAATCCTTTAACTGTAGCGCGCTTAAAATGAAACTTTCATCGTGCGTGAAATTATAGATTAATATAACTTTACATAATTAAATTAATATTTATAATTAATTCTGTTAATATTTTTGGGTTATATATTTATATCCTATAAAGCTATGTTAGAACTGAGTAATATTAGCGCATGATTTAAAACATAAACTGAATTTTTGTAAGGTAATAATTAATTCTTAAGAATATTACCTTATTATGAATATATATATATATGCCTTTTTTATTTAATAATGGATAATTAACAATGAATTTTCGAGAACGTTTATATACATATCTATTATATATATCTTCTGCAAATAGACAATTTCTTACGACACACATATACTTCCGCAGCTAAGGGATTAAATATATTTATATGCATACCATGTATTGTTATTGTCTATGTTAAATAAGAAATTATATTTTAAGGAATGGTTGCATAAAAATAAATTACTACATATTAATGATAAACATCCTTAACATCCTAATCTGTTTCAGGTGGAAAGATTCGCAGAAACTTATTTCAGTAAAGATCCAAAAGCTTTGTCAAGGATTATAAAGCTGTTAGAAAATCGTAAAAATAATCTTAAAGAGTCCGCAGATATTTTTACAAAGCGATTTGGAAGAAATCAAACTTAAGTGACCTATTGATCTAATCATCAAAACAATATCATTTTTATTTATTATTACCTTTTTGTAAATAATTTTTTATTAATTTTTAATTATTTCTAATACTTTTAATTTTTTAATAATATTTAGTATTTTATTAATAGTCTGGAAGCTATTGATAAAATCATCTATAAAATTTTACTGTTTTATAATTAACAAATAATTTATATAGTATTAGGTTTGATGGTGTTTGATATTTTTCGTAAAATATCTTTTATAAACGCACTAACATTGATTTATTACTCAGCATAGGAGATAATGCGAACGAATTGTTTCAACTGAATATATAATATTTTGTAGATATTATGTGATAGTATCATTTTCTAATAGCGATACCTACATATATGTTAATAATAATTATAATCGTTGTTTGACTTTAAATAGAAAACGCGAAATAATGACGTCGCATTGTACTAAACATTGTAAAAAACTTTACTTAAACAGTACTAATTACTGTATAGAATAAACGTTTCTGTTAACTTCTTATAATTTAATATTATTCATAACCCTCACTTTTATCATCTTACACATTGCATATTTCCGTATACTTTATATATTTTTATTTCATCTACTATACATATTTTATATATTTATTAATTTTTCGGAATATGAAGAGGTATGGATAATTTGTAATATTTATACTAAAGAGCAACTCTCTCTCTCTCTCTCTCTCTCTCTCTCTCTCTCTCTCTCTCTTGATAAGGTTTATCTTATATTCTATTTATTATCCACATATATATTAATTCCATTTATTTATCAGATTTTTATTACATTTATTTCTCTCTGTATATACTTTACATTTATTTATTATAGTAACTAAAACTACTTTTATAATACAAATCTAAATAAATATATTAGCGTTGAAATATATAGTATTTAACGATAAATGTATTATACAAGTATTTATCTAACTGATTCGAAGAAGCACATCAACTAACGAAAACGACTTCTTAAAATTAACATATAAACAAACACATATTATTTGTGATCTATGATCTTCCTGTAGATATCTTTGTCCACAAATGTTCAAAAAAAAAAGTGTAACGGTACGAGTCTATCAGTTCCGTGAGGCACTGTATTTACATGACTTATCTATCAAAACATCAGAGGTTGGCATTGTAGTCAGTATTCGATAAT